CCGGTCCCAGGCACCCAGCGGGGGCCGGATGGGGCCAGCCATTTTAGATCCCTGGCTGCCTATATAAACAGGGCAGTTCACTGCTGGCAGAGCAGGCAGTAACACTGCTTGGCTGCATGTTACATCCTGGAGGTAAGGGGACAGTTTGGAGGCTCCTGGTCCTAGGCATGACCTAAAACTGCATCCTGCCAGGAGTGGGTGGCCTGGTGGGGCTCTCAGTGTGTGGGCCAGTTACCACCCCAGTGAAAGGTGAGCAGGGGTGCCTTAACCCCAGCCCTCACCTTTGGGTGGGCTATTTATACCATCAGAGCAGGGTAGGCCAGGTAAGCTTCAGGAAGCACCTGAGCCTGCAGGGGGAGTGACCCCACAGGGCCAGTGACCCCACAGGGCCAGGCATGCGTCCAGAAGCACCTGAGCTGGGAATGGGGACCCTGATCCCTAAGTGCAAGCAGGAGGTGTAAACCCAACCAAGGGACACGACTGGTCAATGCTGGGGCCAGGACCAGAAGGGTCAAAAGGGCCAGGGGCCCACTGCGACGGATGCCCACGATGAGCAAAGAAGCTCGGTGTCCCGACTGGCCTGGGATGGGGCCAGGGCTTATGGAAGCCGAAGGTCCCATGATTGAGGGCCACAGACGGGGACAGTTAAGCCAACTGCCTGAGATGCCATCTGCAAGGCTTTGGCTGCAGTGTAGGGGTAGAACAGAGACGTAGATAGTTCCCCCACCCCCCATATCAGGGTGTAAAATCAGCAGCCTCCTGCCTTAATTAACAACATAATTAATTACAAGGCATGGCAGACAAGACAGGTGGGCGGCATGCCAAGAGGCAGGTGGGAAACTAGCTCTGTGGCTAGTCAGGGACCCCCACTTTGCCACAGTGGCCCCAAGGCTGCACGCCTGCCAGACCTGGATGGAGACTTCACAGCTGCAGCACAGGCATCTGCACCTCTTCTTCAGCTGCCAGTGGGCTGTGGCTGCCCAGTTGGCCTCTGTGCACCACTACTGCTATGTTTGCTGCTCTCCTGCCATCTGGGCAGCTACTGCCCGGAAGAGGTTCTCACTATGGTGGCCTGCTTTGAACGGTCAAAGCATGTCCTCCTAGCTCCAAGTGGCTAAGAAGTCAGCCACCTCCAGTTGGGTCCCAGGTGCCAGCCCTGAGCAAGCTCCTCTGCCTGGGTCCTGCCACTTGCCTCACTAGCAGGAATCCTAGTGTTCCCTATTTAAAAACTGCAAAATCTCTGATAAAAAACAATGCAAATTCACTCTTTAAAATACCCCAAAATCCATGTTCTTCCACAATTAAAACAACGAACCACTACATAGTGCATGCAAGACCTGGCCTGGCATGACAGATGGATCCCGAGAGCAGTATGGGGCCCCAGGTGACAGCCTGAGCGGCCTGGAGCTGCCCAAAGGCACATAGTGATACACTGACTTGGGCCAAGCTTGCACGATGTGACACAGGCAGCACCAGGTGCCAGGCAGCCAGGGCCAAGCTGCGCTGCCCCGTGCCATGCAGGGGAGTTGTGCCAGCAGGCTCCGAGTGCCCTGATGGCTTCTACTGCTACGGGTGAACTGTGAGATGTGCAGAGGAACTGGTGTGGTATGAATTTTTGTATATTAGTTATTATATTTAAATGATAATAGAGGTTGATTAATTCAGTGCTATGATTGTATGAACAACAAAAAATGGAGTTTTAGCTTGTTCCCTCCTTGACATCAGTAGATGAACTTCGTATGCCCTGTGTATGGTGAAAGAATGGTAACTATTTGCATGAAAACAGAATATCTAATTGATTGCGTAAGCAATAAGGTGCCAATGTATAATTTACCAGACAGTAAGCTAATTAATGATTGGCTGAAGAACTCATCTGTGATCAGGTGCAAAGAAGAAGGAATTTTGCATA